GGGGCTTAAGTGGAGAGCAAATGTTTTGAGAATGATGAGAGCAATGAATGTACAAATGTGCTTTACACAATTGATGTATGTATGGATTGTGATAAGAGTTGTATGAGCCCCTAGTAAAATGATTTTTTTAAAAAGACACTGTCTTATTTTGGGGGAAATAGGGTAGCAAGCAAGTGCCCCATGATGGGATGAGAGAGTTGACACTTGAGAGCTTACTCCTTGTGCTATTAAAGGATAAAGGGTCCTTTCTTAGGACAAGGAAAAAGAGTCAGGAGTGGAACATGACTTCCTCAGCTGGACTACCTCGGTCCAGAAGACAAAGTTGTGGCACAGCTGAAGCGAGAGATATGCATGAGGCAGATCAGTGGGCTTTTCTTTCTGCCCCATGGACTGAGAAATCCGAGTACTTTTGGGCAGGAGGCTTGCTTGTGTAGTGGTGTGCCTTGTCGGGGGAGTTAGCTTTGCTGACCCAGGGAGCTAGAGTCTCTGGGAACTTACTAGGCAGAGCTAAGGGGGCTTTCCAACATTTGTCTGTGCCTACTTTGTCCATCAGGAAAGGGTATCTTGTGTGATGGTCACCAAGCATGGGGGAAATCCGTCAATGAGACGATCGACAGCAGTCACAACAGTGCACTCCACATATCACTGCTGTGAAAATGACCAGGGCTGGACAATGCTGTGTTGTGCTACACAGAGCAGACTCAGCAACTAACATTCTTCTACCTTGCAAGGCACTCAAAACCAAACGAAACTCACTGCCATCCAGTGGATTCTGACACATAGTAATCCCCTGGGACCAGGAGAACTGCCCCTATGGGTTTCTGAGATTGTAACTCTTTACTGGAGCAAAAAGCCGTCTGTTATGTCCCAGAAGCGGCTGGTGGATTCCAACAACGGAAACTTGCTAAACGTCAACTCTCTCAACCCTTCAATGTGCACTTGCTCCATAGGAGTCGGAATCCCATTCAAGGCAGTGAGACTGGTTTGGTTGGCCCTTTTGCCCCCCATACTGGTTATCTCTTACCATCTGGCTATTTTAATTGTCTTTCAATTCAGTTCAGGAGTCACATCTGAGGAGCCCTTGGCGGCGGAGCCGGTTCCCACACTTTGGGCTGCTAATCACAAGCTCAGCAGTTCCAACCCACCAGCAGCTTGCTGGGAGAAAGAGGGTGTCAGTCAGGTCCCCTAAAAGCTTTAGTCTCAGGAACCCTACATGGGGTCGCTATGAGTTGGAATTGACTCACGGAATTTGGTATCAGTCACATTTAGCACATTTTCTTGCCTCCCCCATCCACTTCCACCCATCCCATTTCCCTACACATAAATGTGTTTGTTACTGTGACTATTGTTCAGGTCTGTCATACTGCGAGCCTCCTAAAGGTAGGGATGGTGTTTTCATCACTGTATGTCTTTCAAGTGCACAATATTTATTGAACGATTGCATGGAAAGCACCCGTATGAAGTGAGAATCAAAATAAATCTTCCTAAATGCATTTCGTGTCATAAAGGATTATGCCCAAAACATTTCGGGGGAGGGCCGGGGAAGTCGTGAACATTTTAAGCAGTTAAGCCGGAGCTCGAAAAAGAGAGGGCTCACTATTCCAAAGGACGAGCGATACATATATCCTCAAGCGAGGGGTGTTTGGAAGAATACTGCAACTTTGGAGGCCGCAATCTGCCCATGCGCCCGCCGTCTTCTCGCGTGCGCTTGCGCCGCTCGCGGCGCCGGGAGGCTCCTCAGGAGAGGGTGGGGCTAAGGCTCGCGTTTTAGGATTGGACGGTGGAGGCCAAAACGGGCGGCGCGGAAATGACGTCAGGGCGCGCTCGCCCTGTCGGCCCTGCCGCGCGGTGGCTGCTGGGTGCCGCACGCTCCTGCCCTGGCCTCTCCCCTTCTTGCTCCGGTTCCCGCCCCTCGGCCGCTCCTCTCCCTGGCGTGACTAGGCACTGAGAGCCCCGGGAGAAGAGGCCGCGGTCGCCACTCTTCCGTCCAGCCGTCGGCCTTCTCGAGTCCCCTCCTTTCTCTCCCGGATCTTCTGCCCCTTCAGTTTCGAAGTCGGTGGCGTCGCGCCTGCCCTGCCAGCCTTTCTGTGAGGATGGTGGGAGTGAAGCCGGTGGGGAGCGACCCGGATTTTCAGCCGGAGCTGAGCGGCGCGGGCTCCAGACTCGCGGTGGTCAAGTTCACGATGAGAGGGTGAGGCCCGGCGCGAGCCCCGAGCTTGCACCCGCCCGTCTGTCTGTTTGTCCGTGGTTTCCTTTCACTGCCGCCTATCTCCGGAATGTCCGTCGCTGACCGCAGCCCTGTTCGCTGCTCAATGGGTTGGATCTCCGTTCTCTGGTGTGAGCCCCCCTATTCGTGCACTGAGGGCTCCTCATTCTCTAGCCCGAGATCACGGCTTGCCCCCTCGGAATCCTCGGATGAGCTCTGCCCAGGGGGATGGCCCACCCTGTGCTTTCCTGTCTGATGGACCCTCCCTTGCCGCCTCTGCTCCTGTCAGGCCTCTGCTTTTCCGGGAACCCGCTGTCACTTGCATCTTAAAACCCCAAACCAAACCCCCTGCCTTGGAGTTGATTCCGACTCAAAGCGACCCGATCGCAGAGTAGAACCGCTCCATAGTGTTACCTTTACGAAAGCAGACGGCCTCATCCCTTTCCCCTGGAGTGACCTGGGGTTGAATCACCGACCTGTTGGCGCTTTAACCATTGCACAGCAGCCCGCCTCTTGCATCCACATGCATAATGTACCAACCTCGGTGACTTCATGTATCAGTTCTGTAAAGCCTTCGGGAGATTAAGATGGGGCTGCCCTACTCACCTAGTTGTGGTTCGTCCGGAGGCTCAGTTAATGCATTCCAGTCAAGCTGATGTGGGGTCAGGGTCTGCCTTAGTTATGTGGGGCGGCTCTAGCAGTCAGAACACACACGTCGATGGCCTTAAAAGACAGACATTCTCTCCCAGTTTAGGAGAAGTCCAAGTTCAGGATGCCAGCTTTAGGGAAAGGCTTTTCTCTGTCTGGCTTCTTGGAGGGAAAGCCCCTGTTCTTTGTCGATCACCTTGTGTCTTCTTGGTATTAGCCTTCCCCTGGGTCTAAGAAGTTCTTAGCCAGGAATCCGGGGTCCGGAGAACACTGAGGTTCCTTTCTCTCTGCTTGCTCACTCTTTTCTCTGGTTAGATGCAGGCCACACCTTTTACCTGTATGTGACTGTCCAGCTTTAACAGTTTTGTAATGTCTTGAAAGGGCCCAGGTGGCACGATCAGGTAAGCATTGGAGTGCTAACCGCAAGGGAGGCAGTTCAAACCAGCCAGTTGCTCTGAGTGAGGAAGATGAGGCTGTCTGTTTCAAAAAGATTACAATCTTAGAAAGCATGTGTAGGGTTGCTGTGAGTAGGAATAATCCAATTGCGATGTGTTTAGTTTTCTGATAGAGGTGCAGTGATTCAACACTTGGTTGTTAACTGAAAGGTTGGCAGCTTGAATTTAGCAGCCAGTTCCTTGGGGGAAAGAAGTGAGAGTCTGCAGCTGTGAAAATTACAGGCTTGGACACCCAGTGGGGCAGGTCTACTCTGTCCTCTAGGGTCCTTATAAGAGGGACACCACTTGACGGCAAGAGGTTTTATTTTTAAATATATACTCAATATAGGGGAATACCTGAGCCAATTCTGTGCCTAAGACAAAGTGAAAAGGGAAGAGATGATTTTGCTAAGGAGTCTAACTTTTAGTTCATTTTCCTATTTTAGTTAACTGGAGCCTTTACAATTGTGCCCCTAAATGATACTCATATACTCTTTTTCTTAGCAAAGGAGAGGGTGGTAGGGTAGTAAATAATTTGATTTAAGAAAGGAAAGTGCGGGCAACGTTGTTACTATGGAAGCAACTTTCTTGAGTGATTTGTCTTTTAAGCATAAACATAACTGCAGATGGGAAGGGTAAAGAGCCATGTTATTTTTGAAAACATAGTTTGATGGGTTGAAAGTTGTATAAAATCTTATATCACATAAGCAAAGGGTTTGCACTTACAGGAAAATTTTCAGTTTAAAAACACTCCTGGGAGTTCCCATGACTTCTCACATGCTGGCTATAAATTTCCTTTTCCCAGTACCCCCTTTGAATGCCAGCCATTACTTTGGGAGTTCCCAAGGTTTGCCTCACTTCTGACCTGCTGGCTACAAATCGGTGTGTGTGTGGGGGTGGGGAGGGCTTCTCCTTCAGCATACAAGCTGGTTGTAAGCTCAGGGGGTTTCATCTGCCCTCACTATGGACCTGTTCAGGCTCCCACTATCTTGCGTTTGATGGTACATGTGTTAAGCCCAGTTAACTAGAGAAACAAATCCAGGGACACTCGTGTGTAAGAAAGAGCTTTATATCAAAAAGTAATTACATATCGAGAAAACATCCCAGCCCAGTCAAACTCAAATCCGTAAGTCCCTCTTCAGACTCACACAGGCAATGATGCAGAATGCAGGAAGATCACAGGCTAGGGGTACAAAGTCCTGTGGATCCAGTGGTCATGGCTCTGGCTACAATCAGGGTCAGCCAGCAGGAAGGTGTAGGCAGAGAGGGGGGCAGGGTTCCCAGGACCCTCCCTATATGAAGGTTATGTCCACAAGAGGCACTATCAGGCTGTGACCTGATTGATGATTGACAGGTTGGACTCCATCCCTACACTTTCATGTATCCTCAAGATGACATGAAATTATGTAACTACCACAATATAAAATGACTCACAGAACTCATGGAAGGCACTGGATTTAACTATTACAGTTTTATTGTAAAGGACACAAATGAAGAGCTGCATGGGTCAAGTCTGAAGTGGCTCCTAACACCGGCATCCCTCTCCATAGTGGGTGTTCCTGTGTACAACGGTGGAGCATCTATGTCCAGAGCCTTTTCGGGGCCTTATGTCATAGGCCTGGTTGATAGAAAATTGAGGTCTTTTTGACTTGATTGACTCCCACCTGAGTCACCTCATTAATATAGACCAGCGGTCTGCTGCACAAGACCTCTTGAGAGTATTGAAGAGCAAGGATGTTTCTTTGAGACCAAGGTGTGCCTGACATAAGCCATGGTATTCTCCACTGCGTCATATGAATGTGAAAGTTGGACTTGAATAAGGAAGACCACAGAATAGATGCATTTGAATTGTGGAGCTGGAGAATATTGAAAGTACCATGCACTGCTAAAAAGACAAATAGATTTGTATTGGAAGAAGAAAAGTCAGAGTGCTTCTTCAAAGCAGGGGTGGCAAGACTTTGTCTTATATACTTTGGACATATTGTCAGGCTCTCAGCCCCTAGAACAGCGGTTCTCAACCTGAGGGTCGTGACCCCTTTGGGGGTCGAACAACCCTTTCACAAAGGGTCACCCGATTAATAAGAGTAGCCGAATTACAGTTATGAGGAAGCAATGAAAATAATTTTATGATTGGGGGGTCACCACAACACGAGCTGTATTACAGGATCATGGCATTAGGAAGGTTGACAACCACTACGCTAGAGAACAATATCATGGTTGATAAAATGGACAGGCAGTGAAAAAGACGAAGGCCCTCTACGAGATGGCCTGATACAGTCCCTGCATCGATGGGCTCAGGCATAGGGGCACTTGTGAGGGGGGCACAGGACTGTGCAGAGTTCATTCTGTTGTGCATAGGGTCGCTATGGGTTGGAGCCAACTTGATGGCACCTAACAAAACAACAACGTGGTATAGGTTTCAGACTCCGGTGGGTCATCAAAGACACATAAAAGGCAGGGGGATCCAGTATTTCACTCCTCCCCCCACCCCCAAATCCTGTACAATCCTGTAAAACCTCTTAGAGTTAATGCCACTCTGCTTTAGATCCAGGGCACACTTTTCTTCACCTATTCCTTATGTTGCTCCCACCTTTAGCTGTTGCAAATATGATGCAGTACAAGAATTAACCAGTGTACAAGAACCTGTTTGAATTTCTGCTTTCAGTGGCGTGGAATTGCTGGATCATATATGTAATTTTGTGTTGTTTTTAAATTATGTGTTTTTGAGCAACAGATTTACTCTTGTACTGCAGAGTGAGAAAAGCCAAACATCTCATTTAAAATATCTGATCAATTCATTTGAATAGGTATAGTGTGAAAGTGTATAATATGTACTTTTTTTCTCTCCTGTGATCTGTGATCTTTGACATTTGACTAAAGCTTAACCTAAAATGGTGAACTAAAACTAATGAACCAGCCAATGCTGTCTGCCCTGGTGGCTCAGTGGGGTAAGCATCTGGGCTGCTAATTGGAAGGTCAGTGGTTCAAGACCACCATCCAGTCTTTGGGAGAAAAATAAGACAGTTTGTTTCCATAAAGATTTATAGCCTCAGAAAAATAAAACACTGAATTTTGAGGACCTGAGTACAAAAAATATGTGAAACAGAATAATTTAAAACTATATACTCATAATATGTTGAAATTGTAATATATCAAATGTATTTTGTGAAGTAAAATACATTATTGAAATTAAAAAGAGATTTCCAGGCTCAGAAACCCTGTGAAGCAATTCTACTCTGTCTAATAAGATCTCTGTTAATCAGAATCAACGACACAGTAGTGGGTGTATAACTAACTTGTTGCCCTGGAGTTCATTTTGACTCATGAGTGGCAGAGTGCAACTGCCCCACAGGACTCTCAGTGGATGATGGGCTTTGCAATGGAGTTCCAGGTCCCTTCCAACATGCCTTTGGATGAAAAACTCGCATCCTCCAAGTTAAAAGGGGAACACGTGAATTTATTTACACCACCCAGGGACTCCAAACAAAGTATCTCAATAAGGCTATATTATGAAAAGAAGCTGTTACTTGGAAGGCAACTAGCAATATAATTTGTTCAGTTATAAGTAATATTTCTTTAACACTAGCTCAGATGTGATTGATAAATAGAAAAATGATATCAGTATAATGTGGAAATTGTGTTTGTTCATATGTACCTTGTCCTCGGTAACAAAGAACAAAAATAAAAATAAACCTTCAGCAGCAAGAAATGAAATTGTTAGGTCTTAGATTGTGTTCATTTAAATTGCTAATGACCAAATGAACTTTCAAAATGAATGTATCCATTTATACTCATAAATAATGCTTAAGACAGAAGACCAAATAATGCTTAAGACAGAAGACCATATGGCCAGCCCTACTGTGAGACACTGACATCCCTCACTGACTGATAGCCCTACAACAC